GGGATTAGTGACGCCGTCTCTAGCCATCCTTTTATCCTTACGGGGTGGCTGGAGTATCATTGTGCACTGGTGGGGAACTGCTGTCTTCAGGCACCATCCTCTTGCTGGTCTGAGTGGGGCTTTGCCTCCTGAGACTGCTTGAGAAAGCTGTTGAATTGACTGAAGCAAGATGCATATGAGTTTGTACAAAAGCTGGAAGAGAAAAGCAGAAATGATACATTTTCAGTAGCTCTTTTCCAAGTGTAAAGACCTGTTCTTTGCTCTAAAGTTTGGTGCTAGATGCCCCGTGAGCACGGAATCTGCTGACAACTCCAGATTAGGAGCAGCGCCCTGCCCTGGGGGAGAGCTTTCTGCTGAATTAAGGGGAAAAAGTCATCTCTAGGACTTCTAGCACTAGCACTGGTTGAACTCTGACAGGTCATTTGAATTCTTGAATGAGATTTTTTCTCCTGACCGTGTTTACAGGAGCAAGTTTTAAGGTTACAGGTGTGGTAGCTTTCATGGTAGTTTTCTAACAAATTGGCAATGCACAGTTGCCCTGTCAAACTGCATTAGAGTCTTAACAATGGAGGAGCAGTGATCCCATGAGCTTCTGGTGGCTCTGCGGGGCTTCAGCTGGTCTCACTTCGTGAGTTATTACTGGAGGAGTCCGCGGAACCTCGCCTATGTGTTGGGTGCGGATGAATTTGGAATAGCCATTGACAAAGACGGACAGGAATTCTTTGGTACGTATGTTATAGAGTCCTGTTGTCATTTGATACTTGAAAGAACTGATAATCTATAATGTAGCAGTTAGGTTTGAGACTGGAAAGGGGGATATGATACGAGTGGACCTGTGGTGTGTTGGGCCTTGTGATGGGTTCCAGTGATATGAAAGTGTGCCTTATCTTGGTTAAGCTGTGTGGGAAAGGCGAGTGTCATCAAGTAATACATGGAAGAAGTGAGTACAGTTGTGATGAGCACCGTGAAGGAGAAATATTAAAGCATGTATCATGGCAGTCTGCTGGGCTTAGGACTGGGAGGTGGGTGCGCTGACGGGCAAAGCCCGGGGTGTGCTGTCTGTTCTTTTGGGGTGTGCGTCTTGTTTGCTGTTTCTTCTTTGGGCAGTGCTTTCTTTCATTTCTGTGCTTTTTATTTGTGTTTGTCGTCTTGTGCTTATTTTAAATATAAAGCTCCTGGGAGTCTGGCGTTGTGAAAGTGTAAGCATCAGAGTCCACAAGCATTGAAAACTTGTGTAAGGATTTCAATGACATTTTTTCACTTCCCATCTGCCTAGAAGTCTGGTTTTAATTGCTGTGAGTAAAGTTTTAGAAATTGGCTTTAACTTACATACATATGGATGATGAAGAAGGATTTTTGTGAAATCTGTTTTATTTTCCTTTTTAAACTTATTCTTTATTACAAAAGTGATATATGCTCATCTTGAAAAGTCAAACCTTTTGAAGAATATGTCATGTAACAGTTAAAAAATTGCTTGTAATCTCTTTCTCCAAGATAAGACTGTTAACTGTTTGGTGTATTGAATTATTTTCTTAGCAAATTGTAACTGAATCACTTGAAAAATGTTTGTTCTGCTTTTTTGCAATAAAGATTTTAAAAAGTCCTCTAGCAAGCTAGAGCCTGCTTTTAAAAACGTGTTAACCTTTTCATTTCAGCCACTTGGGGAATTGTTTCCTTGTCAATGGATGATTTCTCTAAGATAAACTACCTTCAGACAAGTTCAGCTGTAAACTGGTTAGAGAGTTCTTGGTGATGTTATCAAAAGTGTGTCAAAATTTTTGGTAGTCTTTCAGAATCGATGTTTTCATTTCTTATAACAGGTTTTTTTTAAAATCCCAATTTGTATTTAGGATACTCAATGAAAAATTCCTGTCCAAAAGTTTTAAGTGAAAAAGAACTGAAACCAGAGTTCTCAAATTGGAGATGAGCAGCTGAGTTCAAAGGCACAAACAGTTTATGGTCCATGTGAGTGTCCATAAAGGACACTCTCAAAGTGGGAGGCTGGGAGCATGTTGACATTTGTTGAGGGTCCATCACTGGAGATAGAGTGGGCACGTTTTCTATGAAACAACTCTGTGCTTTCTTTGGAAACTGGAATTTCAAGTATTGGGGGGAGTGGGTTGTTTGTTTTTTCCCAATTATAAAGAAATAGGTTCACTGTCAGTGTTTTGGGGAAAAGTCTTTTTGATGTTAATCCCGTTCTCCCAAAACAGCCATTGCTGTCTGTTGATGATTTGGAATTTATGATGGTGTGTGTGTGTGTGTTTTACCTTAGTGGTATTAAAATGTGATCAATTTTTCCTCTTTAAACACAGCTTTAAAGGATTCATTACTTTCCTCTTTAAATGCATCTCTTGTTTTAGCAATTTTCTGGTACGTTTTGTTATTATCACAAGTTGTGTGCCCTTTTGTTTACATTTGAATTCTCCAGGTCAGAATACTGGAGTGGGTAGCCTTTCCCTTCTCCAGGGGATCTTCCCAACCCAGGGATTGAACCCAGGTCTCCTACACTGCAGCAAGGCAATGGCACCCCACTCCAGTGTTCTTGCCTGGAGAATCCCAGGGACAGGGGACTCTGGTGGGCTTCCGTCTGTGGGGTCGCGAAGAGTCGGACACGACTGAGTGACTTCCCTTTCACTTTTCACTTTCCTGCATTGGAGAAGGAAATGGCAACCCACTCCAGTGTTCTTGCCTGGAGAATCCCAGGGACGGGGGAGCCTGGTGGGCTGCCGTCTGTGGGGTCGCACAGAGTCGGACACGACTGAAGCGCCTCAGCAGCAACTGCAGCTCCTGCGTTGCAGACGGATTCTTTACCAGCTGAACTACAAGGGAAGCCCTTTACATCTGATAGTAGAATCTGAAGTACGGGCATCCTTCCCCACCTATATTGGTCCAGTGAAAAACCCTTCCTGTTGTTTTAGTGTCAGAAAAACTCCCAGCTGGGCTTCCCTGGTGACTTGGTGGTAAAGAACCCACCTGCCAGTGCAGGAGATACAAGTTCAGTCCCTGGGTGGGGAAGATCCCCTGGAGGAGGAAATGGCAAGCCACTCCTTATTCTTGCTGGGAAATCCCATGGAGGAGGAGCCTGAATAACAGCAAGAAACCCCAGGGGCGGGTAGGAGTGGGGGAAGGTGTCCCATCCCAGAGCACAGTGACAACTGCATTTCTATAGAGCCCAGTTGGGTCATTTTTGTGACACCTATAAAAACAGGGGGCAAAGCCTTGTACAGACACTTCGGAATTCTGTCCATCAGCATACTCCCTTCCTGATAACTAGTAAATCTGTTCATTTAAAAATTTAACAAAACAAAGATCTTTAGAAACTCTATCAAAGCATGCTGGTCTCAAATTGCCCTATCCTCACCCTCTGAATGTTACAGGTATCTTTTCTGACACCTGAAATTTAGACTCTTTTTCTCTTCTTTGAAGCAAATGAAAAGAACTTAGGACTCTCTTTACTTATGATTCTTTATATTCCTTTCTGCCATCTACTTCTTTCCCCATGAGCTCATGTTTCAAGACATTATGTCCATTTCAGAAGTTTTCTGTCCTTGCCAAGAGAGGCTCACAGCGGCCCAGACCCTCAGAGGTCTGCCTGCTGAGCCCTGAAGCCTATGCCCAGCCGGCCTCCTTCCTGACACGCACAGCCCTGATTGACTCTTGCTTCGCCTGCTTCCTCACTCGTTGCTCCTCTGGGTGTCCTCGGCTGCTGTTCCGTCGCCTGGAGCTCTCAATACCTGGGCCCCCTTGGCTCTTCTTTCCTCTGTACTTCCTCGCTCGGTGGTTTCACCTGGTCCTGTGGTCTGACCTCTCACTAGTCCTCAGCTCCCGAGTGTGTAATGCAGCCTGGACCTGCCCTCCAGGGCCTTTTGTCCAGCTGCCTAGACATCTCTGCTTGGACTCTTTTAACAGATACCTCAAACACGACCAAACCAAACTCCTGCCCCCTGGCCCCTACCAAAACCTGACCTTCCTGTGGTCTTAGTCACCTCCATAACTTCTGAGTCCCTTCTTCCATTTGCAAGCATATCTGAGATCTCTTTCTTCCACACAGTGTTAGCAGGTCCTGTCAGCAAAACCTTCTGAAAGGATCCCTGAACTCGACCAGTTCTCCCCCACTCTGCTGCTGCGGGCCACCAGTGTCCATCTCTCCTTTTGTTTATTGCTGTGGTCTCTTAACTGCTTTTCTCTCGTCCTCCCAGATTGTTAGTTGCTTGATTAGTACTGCTCTTCCAAACGCATTCAAGCTCTTCATGAGAGCAGCCGGCAGAGGCCTTTACCATTCGACTCCCATGCCTACTGTTTTCTCACTGAGAGTTAAGGCCTGGGTCTCAGCCAGGCTTCGGAAGCCCCTGTTAACATTGTGTTTTTCTGGGAACCTCTCTGGCCTGCCTCTTGCCCCTCTGACCCCCTTCCTTTGCTCCAGCCACACTGGGCTCTGCTGGTCCTCCCTCCCCCGACTTTGTCCTGCCCTTTGCCGGTGCTCACTCTCCTGTGCGCCCTGGTGCTTTGCCCTGTGCCACCTGGGTTCCACCTGAAACACCCCCTGCCACTTAGAAATGGTTTTATTTTCTCCAAGGTGCTGGCGTTTATTTGCCAGTTTGTCATTTCCCGGAGCTTTCTTCATTAGAATTTAAGCACAGATGAGGACAGAAACCTTGTTTGCTGCATCCTCAGTGACTGGAGTGTAGTAGATGTGTAATAATTTCCATGATTTTTTAATTGTGAAATCAGAACAGAGAGTGATTTGTAACTTCTTATGCCATTTAAAGAGTAGCCAGTACTCCTTTCTTAAAAATTTTTTTCTGCAAATTTTGGGATAAATTTGAGGTGATTTTAACTTTTAAATACGGCTCAGATACTGTCAACCAAGTCAAGACCATGGTAGTATTTCCATGTGAGCCTGCTGGGTTCCAGGCCAGAGACTCTGCACCCCTCCTCTGTTGGGAGGGGGAGCCACCCATGTCTTCACTTCCTGTTTCTCCTGTGAAAATACCTACTTGTGTTAGCTTTTCAAATTCCATCTCCACCTTTAATATGAAAGTGTTCTTCCAGCTCATCGTCTTGTGGGACCGATCATGCCAACAAGAGCAGATCATGCACGCATGAGGGCAGAGCAGCTGATGCCTAGTAGAGGATATGTTTATTTTGAGCTAAAAATTTATACATAGTCCCCCATCTTTACTAGCTTTACTAAAACTGCTTTCACAGAATATTCATTGTGAGCTGAAGCCTTTTGCTGTAATGATAACTGTTGTTATCCAGACGAGTGGAGAGTATTGGTGCCTCTGCTAGAATATGGAATATACCCAGACGTACGTGCAGTGTGTTCATTCTCGTGAAATTCAGCCATGTCTTCTGACAGAGTGCTTGTTACGCTTTGGTTCCTTAAGTTCAAATAAAATAGTATCAGTTGACTGCAGTATAATTCAGATACCCCGGGTTATGGATTTGCTCCTTTTTTTTAGTCATTAACCTACATTTAATTGAAATTATGTGTAAGTTAGAGTGGATCTCAGTCTGTTCTCCATGAACTGAGTCAGAGTGTACTACTAAAATGATTTATTGGTGAACTTTCTGAATTCTTGGGAAAAATTGGGTTGGTAGGTATAATTTCCTCAAATTAACATTTTTTATTCTTTAATTTTCCTTAAAAATTTGATATCTGTTCTTTGCCCTAGTAGATGAACAAGTAACTTAGAATAGTGGTTCAGATGCTGGAGTTGCATCAAAATCCCCTGGAGGGCTTACTAAAACTCAAATTGCTGGGCCTTGTCCCAGGTTTTCTGCTTTTTTCTTCTGACTGGAAGCTTGGTTGGGGCTGAAGGGTTCTCTGGGGAGCTGATTTGCTGTTCTTTTGTCTCTTAATTCTATATAAAGCCACATTTCTCTTTTCTATTTCATATAGTTACCTTTTGTTATCATTGAGGAGTATTAGGACTTCAAACGAGGCTTAAAAACACATTCTTTCATCATTATCTGTAGGTCATGTGTTATTGGTATACGTAGACATTCTTGAGATGAACTTCCTTCTGATTGTTTTCTCTGGAGGTACAGAGTCAGGGGTGAACCCGAAAGCACTGTGGTAGGTGCTGGGGAGGTTGCTGGTGGTGAGAGGTTGCTGCCTGCGCCAGCCCTGCTCCAGCTGCCAGTGCCAGCACAGGCACCTTGAGGAAGAAGAGAACTGGAGGTCAGGTTATAAGTTATAGTCTAAAAAACACGGACGTGCCAGCTCCTGTGCGGTGATTTAGATCACAGTCTCATTTATTTATTCTTTCATCAATTGAGTGCCTTTGATCTACTTTGTGCTGTGCTAAGGAAAAGAAAAGTAGGTTCTTGATTTCAGGAGCTCTCAGTCCCTTACGGAGGCAGACTGTTGTTGTGCAGTCCCTAAGTCCTGTCCGGCTCTTTGCGACCCCATGGACTGTAGCATGCTAAGCTTCCCTGTCCTCCACTATCTCCTGGAGTTTGCTCAGATTAATGTCCATTGAGTCGGCGAAGCCATCCAACCATCATCCTCTGTTGGCCCTTTCTCCCTCTGCCCTCAGTCTTTCCAGTATCAGAGTCTTTTTCAATGAGTTGGCTCTTCGCATCAGGTGACCTGAGTATTGGAGCTTTAGCTTCGGTTTCAGTCGCTCCGATGAATATTCAGGGTTGATTTCCTTTAGGATTGACTGGTTTGATCTCCTTGCAGTCCAGGGGACTTTAAAGAATCTTCTCCAGCACCACATTTTGAAAGCATCAATTCTTCAGTGCTCAACCTTTATAGTTCACATTCATGAACTCTTACATTTGTACATGACTAGTGGAAAAGCATACTTTGACTATACAGACCTTTGTCAGCAAAGGTCTGCTTTTTAATATGGTGTGTGTGTTTGTCATAGCTTTTCTTCGCAGGAGGAGCAAGCGTCTTTTAATTTCATGGCTGCGGTCACTGTCCGCGGTGATTTTGGATTCCAAGAAAATAAAATCTGTCATTGCTTCCACGATTCGCCCTTCTCTTTGCCATGAGGTGATAACGACCGGATGCCATGATCTTAGGTTTTTGAATGTTGAGCTTTAAGCCTGTTTTTTCACTCTCCTCTTTCACCCTCATCAAGAGGCTCTTTAATTCCTCTTTGCTTTCTGCCGTTAGAGTGTTATCATTTGTGTGCATCTGAGATAATTGATATCAAATATTGTTGATATTTCTCCTGGCAATCTTGATTGCAATTTGTAATTCATCCAGCCCAGCATTTCGCACAGTGTACTCTGCATTTAAGTTAAATAAGCGGGGTGACCACATATAGCCTTGACATATTCCTCTCCCAGTTTTGAATCTAGTCCATTGTTCCATGTCTGGTTCTAACTTGCTTCTTGACCTGCATACTGGTTTCTCAGGAAATAGGTAAGGTGGTCTGGTATACATCTTTTTAAGAATCTTCCGGTTTGTTGTGATCCATACAGTCAGAGGCTTTAGGATGTCGGTGATGCAGAAGTAGATGTTTTTCTGCAGTTCCCTTGCTTTTTCTATGATCCAGCAGACGTTGGCAATTTGATCTCTGTTTCCTCTGCCTTTTCTAAATCCAGCTTGTACATCTGGAAGTTCTTGGCTCATTTACTGGTAAAGCCTAGCTTGAAGGATTTTGAGCGTTACCTTGCTAGCTTGTGAAATGAGCATGATTTTAAGGTAGTTTGAACTTTCTGTGGCATTGCCTTTCTTTGGGATTGGAATGAAAACTGACCTTTTCCAGTTCTATGGTCACTGCTGAATTTTCCAAATCTGCTGGCAAATTGAGTACAGCTCTTTAACAGCATCATCTTTTAAGTTTGAAATAACTCAACTGGAATTCCATCATTTCTGCTAGCTTTGGAGGTGGCAGACAGGCCTTCACTATAAGGTGACATAAGGGCTTTCACCCAGTTTTATAGTAGGGTGTCTACCTGGATTTGAGAATGAGGGTCAAGGAAGACTTCCTGGAACATGTAGAAATTAGACAAAAAGACCAGTTGTCTAAGTGTAAATATAAGATACTCTATCATTGCTAGGAGATACCGTTTTATTTAATAAAGTATATTAGTTCAAGAACATTTTGCTTGTAAGTATCAATATTTTACTTGCCTTTACCTATTTAAGCTGCGGCATTTTTCTGGGTTTAGTGAAGCCTACAGGAAGAATCAAAAGATCGGTACAATAAGAGCTGTAGACTAATTGAATTTAAATAGTGAAGGAACTAAGAGAAAATATATCTTTGAGAACAATTTAAAAGTATTCTTGATATGGATCTGCTGATTTTTACCTTCTTACACCTAAACATGTTGCTCTAACACACGTTCTACCTCACTGTGAATTCACACAGAATTCCTGTGATGTCAGAGAGACTGGAAGTCAAGTAAAAATTAATATTTCATATTTGTGTTGGGTATCAGTGATTATCTCCGGCTATACATTTCTGGGAGTTCTTCAAAATAATTTATCGTGTACTTTTCTGTGTGTTTGGGAAAAGTGAGGGGAGATGCCCTTTGCTATAGTGAGAGAGCCTTGGGCAGCAGTGCTGGGCTCCTCTCCGGATGCTGCTGCAGGCAGGCTGGGGGGCTCTGGGTGTGCTGCCTCAGCACCCTCTGCACGCTGAAAGAGTTGTACTGAAATCTTAAAATTCCCTTAGCTCTGTTGTTGTGCTTTCCTTGAGCCTTTTTAGTCTGATTTATATTAAAGTGTAATTTGTAATGAGGTGATGACGTGGACATCCTCTCTCCTTTCACTACCAGCAAATGCCATCTAGTATGCCTTCTTTTCCAAAGGTTCTTACATATGATAAGCATCAGTCACTGTCCTCGTCATTTTGTCCCCAAATTCACCCAGTTGACGTTCAGATAGTGAGGGAAAACACCGTACCAGCAAATACAGTAATTTCAATTTTTGTTGCTGATGTAAAGAAAGCTAAGGCAGGTATTTCATGATGAGCAGTATTTTGATATTTGAATGTTGGTCTCTTAAATACCCTTAATGCTGATTGCAGACTAACAAAACTCTTGTGGAGAAAGCTTAACTTAGATGCCTTTTCTTCAGCTCCTCAAGAAGAGAAGAAGCAATTTTTCTTGTAATTTATTCACAGAGTTAATACAATTTTCCAAAACTTGTAGTTTGAGCAAGTTATTGATACCTAGCTATACCTCGATATCACGGTAATAGGAAGCAAAGATGATTCTTATTGGTAACTGAGAGATAAACATTTATTGAACACTTACTAGTTACCAGTCTCTATTAGGAGCACAAGCGAGGAGCAAGGCAGAACGAGTCTAGGGGCTCTGTAGGCCTCAGCCTGATGGGAGGAGGGGGAGCCAAGACAGTCTGTGAAGAGTGGAAACACTGATTGTTCAGTTACTTTTAATACTCTGAAAATTGCTCAGGGGTCTGTGTAGCATGGTCTTTTATGAATTTATCTCCCCATTTTGTTCTGTTTTTCATGTTTTGTTTCTGTTAGGAAAGAACGTTGAAATTACTCTCTAAGCTATTTGAAGAAAGTGACTAAATGCACCTGGGTCAGGCTGCCTGTGGGTATGAAGTGGTTGGGAGAATCCAAGAACATGGTGGTGAATGGCAGGAGACATGGAGGCAAGTTGTCTAATGACCATCAGCAGAATCAGTCAAAACTGCAGCACACGGGAAAGGACAACGTGAAGACTGGCAGAAACGCAGGCGAGAGGAGGTCAAGCAGATGTATGTACACACTTCAGCTGTCGCTCTTTTAACGGTGATGTGGGGCAGGAATCCTTTCCACTTTGTCATATGTGTTCTCTTCTCAGTTAACAATGTGGTTCTTATACTCTTTCAGACTTGTGTCAACTTTTATTCTCATCCAACATTGTGCACAGCTCGTTTAATTCTTAATATAGTGTTTTTATATCCATAACTTTAAATTATTTTCTGTAGAATTTATACCTGAATGGTTGCTTTGTTCTATTAAAAATATTAAAGGACTGCTATTAAATTTCTTTTAAGTTTAAACTGTGTTTTTTTATGTTTGATGTAAATGTAAGTATGTATTTATTTGAAAACTTGCAGAGTAATATGAATGATAAAGTCAGCCCTCATTTACATGTTATGTGGAACTTAAGGCAGCTTTTAAACTTTTCATCGTTTCTTCTTTTTATTTAGGGTGAATAGTTTATCCTAACAGAGAAGGACTGTTGACAATGAATTACTTTTTTACCTCAGTATCTTTTGGTTGATAATGAGGCTACATATTGAGAGTTCAAGAAATTGTAGATTTGATCCATGTTTCATAGCTCTTCTAAGAGTAGTAAATTGCCCCAGGATAACTGTAAACCTGTGAAGATGAACAGCATTACATTGGATGTTATTGGGCAAGAATGGTACAAAAAGAGTGTCAATGATGAGGAGATGCATCATCTTAAATAAAAGACTTCAGTGACTTCATCTAACACCAGAACCATAGAATACATGGAGCAAACACTCACAAAGCTGAAGGAAGGAATAGATGATTCAGCAATAATTTGGGACTTCAGTTCCCCACTTTCAATAATGGATAGAACAGATAAGCAGAAGGTGAAGGAAAGAAGACTCAAACAGTACTCTAAATCAGCTCTTCCTGACAGACTTCTATAGAACACTTCACTTAACAGGAGCAGAACACACATTCTTTTCAAGTGCACATGAAGCATTCAGGATAGACCATAGACTAAGCCATACTTTAAGCCTCAGTAAATTGAGAGGATTGAAATCATACAATATATGTTCTGACCACAGTGGAGTTAGATGAGAAATGAATAACAGAAATTTTGGAAGTACACAAATATGTGGAAATTAACTCACTCCTAAGTAACCAGTGGATTAGAGAAGAAATCGAAAAGGAAATAAGTAAATAGTTTGAGACGATTGAAAATGAAGATACAACATACCAAAAACTTACGGAATGCAGCTAACTCAGTGCCTGGAGGGATATTATAGTTGTGAACACCTGTATTTAAAACAGAAGGAAGATTTCAATCAATAATCTAACCTTTTACCTTAAAACACCAGAAAAAGAGCAAAACTAAACCCAAAGCAGGAAGAAGGAAGGAAATAGTGTAGAAATGAACAAAATAGAAAACAGAGAAAAGGAGCAAAGTTCAAGAAGTTCATTCTTTGAAAAGATCAACAAGAATTGGTAGACCTTTAAGCAGAATTGATTAAGAAAAAGAGAATACTGAAGAATCAACAGCAGAAGGGACATTATGGTGGTGGTTCAGTTATTAAGTCACGTCCAGCTCTTTGCTAGTCCATGGATTTTGCTCAGACTCGTGTCTATTGAGTCAGTGATGCTATCCAACCATCTCATCCTCTGCCACCCTCTTCTGTCCTCAGCCTTTCCCAGGGTCAGGGTCTTTTCCAGTGAATCAGCTCTTCGCATCAAGTGACCAAAGTAGTGGAGCTTCAGCTTTAGCATCAATCCTTCCAACGAATATTCAGAGTTGATTTCCTTTAGAATTGACTGGTTTGCTCTCCCTATGGTCCAAGGGACTCTCAAGAGTCTTCTCTAACATAACAATTTGAAAGAAACAGTTCTTCTGGAAGCTGTGAGATTGAAGGACATTACTACTGCCTTAGAAAAATGTAAAGAATTATAACAGAATACTATGAACAACTGTATACCAAGAAATTAAATAGATTAAGTGAACAAATTTCTAGAAAGTAATAAATTACTAAAACTGAATTAGAAATTTATACAAAATCTAAATAAATAAATATATATATATAGCAAGTAAAGAAGATTGAATCAGTAAATTTAAAATCAAAAACAGAAAACACTACCTACAAAGAAAAGGCCAGTATTATCCTTGAACCAAAACCATCATAAGAAAAGGAAACCTACAGACTAATATTTCTAATAAATATGGATGCAAAAATCCTCAGTAAAATACTAGTCAACCAGATCCAGCAACAGATGAAAATAATTCTGTGGCATGCCCAAGTGGGATTTATCCCAGGAATGCAAGGTTGGTTTAATGTCTGAGAAATAACTGATGTGATACCATATCAGTAGAATCAAGGACAAAAACTGTACTATCATCCCAATGGATGTAGAAGAAGCATTTGACAAAATCCAGTGTCCTTTCAGGATAAATACTCTCAGCAAACTAGGAATAGAAAGGAATTCTTCAACCTGATAATGCTTAGTGTCATATATAATGGTGGATGGTTTCTCCTGAGATCAGGAATAAGACAAATTTATCCGTTCTCATCACTTCTATTCACCATTTTACTAGAAGTTCTGACTACAGCAGTTAAGCAAGAAAAGAACTTAAAGGCATCGAAATTGGAAAAGAAGTAAAACAAGATGACATGATTGTGTATATAGAAAGTCCTAAGGAGTCCACTAAAATATTAGAATAAATGAGTCCAGCAAAATTGCAAGATACAAGTATACAAAAATAAATTGTATATATATACACTTTCAGTAAAGAATAAAAAAATAAAAGTAACAGTTTCATTTACAGTGGCATCAGAAAGAAACAGCAATACATTTAACATAAAGTGTAAAACTTATACTCTGACAACTATAAAACATTACTGAAGAAAAATTCAAGAATATCTAAGTAAATGGAAAGACATCTCATGTGTGCTGTGCTTAGTCGCTCAGTCGTGTCCAACTCTTTGTGACCCCATAGACTGCAGCCCACCAGGGTCCTCTGTCCATGGGATTCTCCAGGCAAGAATACTGGAGTGGGTTGCCATGCCCTCCTCCAGGGGATCTTCACAACCCAGGAATCGAACCAGAGTCTCCTGCATTGAGGCAGATTCTTTACCAGCTGAGCTACCAGGGAAGCCCCACAGATTGAATGTAATCTCTTATCAAAACCTCAACTGGCTTCTCTGTAGAAATTGACAGGCTGATCCTAGAACTCTTAAGAAAATTCAAGGGACCCACAATAGCTAAAACAGTCTTGAAAAAGACTCATACTTGGAAGATTCATACTTTTCAGTTTCAGAGCTTACTACAAAGCTGCAGTAATCAAGACAGTATTATACTAGCATGTGGATAGACATATATTCATGAAATAGAATTGAGACTTCAGAGAAGACACTCATGTTTGTAGTCAATTGATTTTTGACAGAAGTGAGAATGAAATGAAGTGAGGAAGAATAGTCTTTTTAGCGATTGGTTCTGGCCAAACGGTATACCACCCACATGCAAAAGAATGAAGTTAGACTGAACCTCAGACCATATGTGAAAAATTAACTCAAAATGGACTAAAGACCTAAATTAAATGCTTAAACTATAAAACCCTCAGAAGAAAACATATGCGTGAGTTTTCATGACTTTGGATTAGTCAGTGGTTTCTTGGATATGGCACTAAAAGCACAGGGAACAAAAGAAAAAGGATAACATGAAATTCACCGAAGTTGCAAACTTTAGAGAATACCATCAAGAATGTGGAAAGACAGCTTACAGAATAGGAGAAAATGTTTTCATCTGATAAAGGACTTTATATCTGATAAAGGACTAGTATCCAGAATAAATAACTCTTGTGGGCTTCCCTGATGGCTCAGTGGTAAAGAGTCCATCCTCCAGTGCAAGAGACACAGTTTGATCCCTGGCCTGGGAAGTCTCCACATGCCGTGGGGTGGGGCAGCACAGGTGGTGTGCCGCAGTACTGAGCCTGTGCTCAAGAGCCCAGGAACTGCAGCTGTCAAGCCCACGTGTGGCAACGAGCGAAGCCCGTAGGCTCCCTGAGAAGCCATCGCAGTGAGAAGCCTGTGCCCTGCAGCTGAAGCAAAGCTCACCCAGCAGCAGAGACCCGACACAGCCAGACAGCTTTAAAAAGACTTCTTACCAGTAAAGAGTAAGAGAGAATTTAGATTTTAAACGGGCAAGGGATCTGAGTCGACAGACACTTCTTCACAGATATACAAATGGCCAATGCATGAAGCTATTCAAAATCATTAGTCATCAGGGAAATTCAAATCAAAACCATAGGGTACCCCTTCACAACCAGTAGGATGTCTGAATCAAAAGGACAAACAGTGACGAGTGCTGGTGATGATGTGGTTGAATTTAGAGTCCTCATGCACTGTTTTTGGGAACATAAAATGGTGCAGCCACTTGAAAAACAGTCTGGCAGTTTCTCAAAAGGTTCAGCATAGAGTTACCACATGACCCAGCAGTTTCCATTCCTGGATATGTACCTAAGAGAGTTGGAAAACATACATACCCACGAAAACTTTACTTGAATGTTCATGAGAACCTTATTCATCATAGCCAAAAATGGATGCAACCCCCATGTTTCCATCAGCTGATGAATGAAAAACAAAACGTGGTCTATTCATACAATTAAATATTCTTTGGCCTTAATAAGGAATGAAGTACTGATGCATGGTACAATGTGGATGAGCCTCGGAAACATGCTAATTGAAAGAAGTCAGTCACAGAAGAGCACATGTCGTATGATTCCATCTATGTGAAATTTTCAGAGCTAGGCAATTCCATAGAAACCGGGTAGATTGGTGGTTGCTGGAGGCTGTGTGGGAGGGGAAAATGGATAGTAACTTCTAGTAGATATGAAGTTTCTTTTAGGGATGATGAAAATGTTCCAGAATTTATTTCGGTGATGGTTACACAATTCTGTAAATACATTTAAAACTATATTCTGAATTGTATACTGTAAATGGGTGACTTGTATGTGAATTAAATTTTAATAAAGCTGTTGTAGGAAATATAACAACTTTGATAGTTGTACACATACCTACATGCAAAAGTTTGACTTGAAAACAAATACCCTTTGCCAGGGACTTACATGTAAGTGTTTATTTATTTATTGGAAGAGTGGATGAAATGGTTAGACCTCTCACTTTGTCTCTCATTCTTCCACCTTTTAATTTTGAGAGGCTTAAAGTTTCACTGCTGGTATCCTCTGTAATTACATGTGCTGTCTCCATGAACACTCAGTGACACGTACATCAAACTTAAATCAGCACTGATGAAGCTTCATCCGTACAAATTTAGTCTTCCTTTCCTCTCTTTACATTGTTTTTCTTACACAGTTAAACCCATTTACTTTAGGTACCTTTTTCAGTCACTTCCCTATTTTTATATATTCCTTCAAAATCCGTTTCAAACAGGTCAGTTAGAACAGGCCTCTTAGTCTCTCTCCCTCTCTCCTCTCCTGCTGCCTAGCTCCGTAACTGTGGGCAAGTTTCCTAACCTTTGGCCCTCAATTTCCTGCATATTGGGGATGATAACCATACATCTGTTCAAACGCAGGAAGCTGAAGGTATAACACCTTGGCGTTGCTTTCTAGCTCCTTTGAGACCTACCCTTCTGGCACGTATTGCAGAGGGGTCTTGCGTTCCTCTTGTTTCCTTCTCACCCCAGCCCTGTCGGTAGTGGCCCCTGATGCTGTCTTGCTACCGTCTCCTGTCTCAACTCTTCCTTGGGTGGGCAAGTGAGTCATTTGAGCCAGACTACCACAGCTATCTAGACCCTGTTCTTGGGAAACTTGGTAATATTATCTAACAAAAATGCTCTCAATAATTGAGTTAATTTACTGCATTTGGTTTTTCTGTTTTTGCAAAGGGTACTCAGCTTTTAATTGGTAAAATTGATTGAAGTAGCACTTTTAATTCTTAATTACTAACTTGAATGGGCAGTGAGGTTAAAGGTTTTTAAGGTAGGTTTAAGTTGTATTCAGTGCAAGTTATTTTTTCTCTTTTCTTCTCACAGGTAATGGGAATCCAGGCTTTGAAGGACAGAGTCGATATGTACCATCTTCTGGAATGTCTGCCAAGGAACTCTGTGAAAATGATGACCTAGCAACCAGTTTGGTTCTTGATCCCTATTTAGGTTTTCAAACACACAAAATGAATACTAGGTAATTTTAAGTCTTTATCCTGAGTGGAACAGATGATGTCGTTGAACTTGAGAAAATGGATGGTTAATTTTAAGTCAAAATTTAAAGTGACGTTAAAGGAAAGTTTTTGTTGCAGAAGAATTTTCCAAGTGTGAGCCAAGAAAAGCAACAAAAGCTTCCAAGAGCTGTGTATTTTAATTCTGTGTTCTTATTTTATCTTGAGATGGTTCTATTAAAATATAAAGTTGGAGGCATATCTTTATATTCTGTTTTAGATGTTGATGAGAATTAGCTGAAAGAAATAGCTTATATGCATCCTGTACAATCTTGAAAATGTGGATGATTTTTTTCCTACGTAAATTAGGTTGTATCAGTTTTTTTTCATGGTTTTATTACAAACTTTTCTTTGTTTAAATAATTGCTAGTATATATAGGGAAGTTTGCCATTATGTTTTATCTTTGAGACTCAGCTAGTCATTAGAAGTAAAGATGTGTTTATATTCAGTGTGCAGATAAAAATATTAATAAATCTGTAACTGCTTTATTGAATATCTCATACCACACATATAAAATACTACATAACTCTTGAAATCTGTCACACTTCAAATTCCTTTAACTGTCTTAAACATCATCTTGCTCCCCAAAAGACCTTTAGATAATTTCATAAGTAACTGCTGCCAAGCACTGAGGTCAGGCCTTTACAACTTTTTGTTGCCTTTTAATGTCCAGAGGGTTTTGAGATCTGGTGGAAGAGCAGGATAGTGGGGGTTCAGAATATGGAGCAAATTCTGGGCCTCTGTTCACTCTTGGCTGCGTCATACCAGCACTGATGCTTTGTAACTGCTGTGTCAGGGATGGCCCTGGAGGGACTGGATCACCAGGCAGATGGTCACCAGTAATTAGTTGGGGACAGGTGGTTAGAGGAAAGTCATGTGTTCATTTTTTCCTCTTTAATTCTGTCCCTTGTTAGAATTAAAATAAGATAATTCATTAATCAATTATATTCTAAATTCCCAAAAAAGTAATTCTGGTTAAAACATGCCTTTGGTATTTTCATGTAATTTCCTGCCATCATATATCTTTACTTACTAAAACGAAGTGAAATTTGGAATGGACTTGAGATTATTTAACTGGTTCCCTGCCATCAAAGGGGCACATAGATTTTCTAAAATCAGCAGGATTGGATGCCCTAGTGCCTGACCAAAGTCTAGTTTGTATTATTCTGAGTCCACATCACCTATTTCCCAGTGAACATAAGAGGCCAGGGCTCATTCTCCTACTATTAGAGTCCTAGTAGTATTTAACTCACTGGTTAGCCTGGAAGAAAAAGTGATGCACTCACTGTTTGACCCAGTAGTAGCATTCAGAATATTACCTCCAGGGCCCATAATTATGGCCTGGAGTCATCAAGAAACAGATCATGTTTATTATGCCTTGTATCCTAAAATATGGAAGCATATAAACCACTTTTAGAAAGTTTTCAATCAGAATTACAACAAAAGTTTTAATGGCTTGGGAAAGAACTCCATGTCTTCTGAAGCCCTCATGCTTTGACTGTCCCCGAGGCTGCAGAGTTACCTGTTCCTGGTTTCTCTTTTCTGTAAAAGTCCTCCTGGACAGCTGCTTCTTATAATCAGCTTACATATGAGTCACTTGGGAACCTTGTTAAGATGCAGGTTCTTATTCAGTAGCTCTGAGGTGGGGCCTGAGAGTCTCCGTTTGTCACAAACTCCCAGGTACACTTGGGAAGCAAAGTCCCAAACCATCGAGCCTGCTGAGCCTTGTCTCCATGTGGTAAGTGGGTAGAAACTCCCTTATCAGTAGTTTTCTGGTACTCATCTTAAGACATGTAGTCCTAAAATATAAAATTTAGGATTACCACACAGATATTATTAAAACTTTAAATCTTTACCATATCCAAGCACCCCAGGTTCATATCTTCCAGTGCTTCATTTGATTCTGCTCAAACAGCTCCTAAAATAGCCACTGATGCTGTAGCTAGTGCTGCCGCTCCCTAGTTAGACTGCATTGGCTTAGTAGCAGGGTTTGCGCTTAGGCCAGTGCAGTGAGCCGTTGGTGCCTGTCACAGCACCGGTGCTCTCCGCCTCACTACAAGCCTTCATTCATTCTTAGTGGGTTTATTTGAAAATAAAGCTATCACTTACAGTTCTCTGTCTTCTGAGTGAGAATTTGCCAGAATGCCACTTACACGATTTTCAAAGATATTTTATAGACAGTAAGGAAACTCTGCAGTGTTTTCTTTGAATAATCATACATATTTCTGAAATTATTAGTTTTTTTGTGGACTTTCTCTTTCTTTGGGGTGCAAAGAAGCAACTGGAGGATGTGATTGGAACTTGGATTTTAACTCTCAAGGCTGTTACTTATAATTAGTGGCTTCTTTGTTCATATGTTTATCGATCTGTGATTTGATTTTAGTTTTTCTTTTTTTATGTCCTCTTCCTGCCTTCTACTTACTTCAGTTGTACCTTCAGTAATATTGTTCAGAAACAGTAGATGTTTAATTATTTGAGATTTTCCCAAACTGGATATGTTATGAATTGGTTATATTTTAACCTTGGCCTATCCCTGTATTTACTAACATGGCAATCAGAGTTGTGGCATGAATGCCTAGAAATAGCATAAGCAAAATAGTAATTTCAGTTTATCAGGAAATGTTTTGATTGAGTTGACTTTTGTCACTTATAAAACTTAAATTCATCCTTTTAACCGGAAAATAGAGTTGTTAGTAATACCTCTAATGATTTTTAAAAAGCTAGTGGAGAGATGAAGGTGGTGAATCAGGAATGGATGTTGTCAGTGATGCCCCATTGTTCAGGCCACATGATCAGTGATTTCACAGTATCCTGAGGAGCCGGGGGGACATCACATTGTGAAGAAATAGGAAGAGCCCTCTTAGGGCTTGCACAGACTTGCACCTGCGCAGTCCTCACTTACCTAATTCCACTACACTAACCATCTAATTTTTTTTTCATTATTTATATATTTGATATCCACTGTTGTATCATTTGTATCCACTGTTGAATGTGAACTTATAAATCACTTTAAAATATCACTTTAATATCAAGTGTTTGACTGGAAACCATAAAGAAATTTTTTGAACTTTTAACTTAGTATAATCAAGGATAAAATGTTTTGTGGGAAGGAAAGAATTTTAGCTTCCTGGCCTTTTTTATCATTTCGAGCCAACCTGTGGCTTCTTAAAGTTGTTAGATATCACAGCATTTTAGGGATTTCTGCTACATCTAATATTGTAAGTCTGTTTAGAAATTACAAGTGCAAACTATACAAATAGTTTTTTATTGTTGTTTGTTTTTGCATTTATATAGCGCCTTTCCTTCGAGGAGCTCAAGGCATTTTTCAAAATCTGACAGTTTTTCTCACAACAACCCTGTAAGGTAGGTAGAGAGCATTACAAATAGTAATAAGACACAAACTAACTTGTTTCAGCCATTATAATGTTCTTTTATGTTAAGTAATTAGAGGTGTCAGCATAAACACGATTTTTAGAACATTTTGCAAACCTTTTGAAAATTTGGTCTTAGTATTAGCTATATTTAAAAAACAACTTGTACTCCATAACAGGGTAATTTTAAGAGAACTCATTCATCCAAAGATCAGGAGGCACTCCATGGGATTAGCTGAGCACTGATTGCAGGACTCAGCCAGGTATGTTTCTGGGTGGTGTTCACTTCCAGGTCGAGAAGGAATGAAGAGCTGTCCTAGCGGGGCCCCCTCAGCATCTCGGATGTCAGTTTGCAGTTAAACTCTCTTCAGAGGGGAATGTCTTCACAATGTTGCCTCACGGTTTTATTTTATATCTTAAATATTTGAGCATTTTTCTCTCTCTTCCTCCCACCTTCCCTCGCTCCCTTTTTCTGTCCCCCCTCCTCTTTCCCCTCCCTCCAGTCAGCTCTTGGTTGTACATGCTGATGGAGGGCACAGTAGTACAGCTAATACACACCTGCAGCTTTTCTTCATTGCCACAGTGGTCTCTTGGGTTTGGAAACAGAAAAACCAAATAGCAAGAAAACCTGGGAAGTCAGTCTCTGGAAAGAGTGGGGAACAGGTGTGTGGGAGTGTGAATTCATATGTTTTTTCCCTGCCCCTTTCAATAGTAAATAATTGTAAATGCCATATTTTTAAAATTCCTATACTGGCCATGGGATCAGAGAAGTGTGGGAAGAGAAAAATAAATGTTTGGTTTATTTAAAGTTGCAAATGTCATATTAAGAGGGAGGAGGGGCGTGTTGATTTGGAAATGCCAAAAACCTGTTTCTCTAGCCCGCGCCCCCCCACCCCCACCCCCTGCCACCCTATACTCAGTTTGTTTCCACGCCTTTCATTGTGCTGTCGGGGTACCAGGCAGCGCCGTCGCGGGTGGGGCTTGGCGCTGGTGCTCAGCTGTAAGTGTACGTCAGACCCCCGGTCTCCTGGGGAAGGGACAGAAGAGGGCGCTCATGCTTCAGATGCGAGCAGGCCAAGAAAGGCCTGGGCAACAGTCCGCTCCTTCCACCAGTTAGCCCTCATTGGGCCTTATTTTCCTCATTTGTGGAGCCAGACATAATTTTTTAGATCATGTGAATTTTCTTCTGCCTTTAGGAGCCATGGTGTAGAATAGCTTTAAGCGGTTTGTATGGGAGATTTAGTGTGATTGTATTAAGGAGAGGACAGAACATATTTTTCTTAATAGAAAAATAATTTTTTCCAAGATCCCCCATGCCTTTTGCTTTGGACCTGATAGTTGTAAAGCCTTGTTATTAAATAATTTTTATTTCCTCACAGTTTTTGTTACAATGGGATTTGACTTGAACTGTCAGCCAGGTGATTTTGATGTTCTATCTGGTTATCGAAAACAGCTGTCTCTTCCCCTTCCTGTCCACCCAGTACCGTTTTCTTCCTCCTCCTCCTCATTATCATTTCATGCCTGTAGCAGCCAAATATGACAGTAAGTTTTGACTGTAAATTACATTTTAAGTAAAATGGAGATTCTTGTCCAGTGGGCAGCAAGGGATAGTTTAGGGGGTTTTATTTGTGTTTGAGGCAGTAGAAGTCAGGAAAGCAGAAAAGAAAGTCACAGGTTGTGTGGAAGGTACAATATTAGTAACTCCAGCGATGGTTGTTGTGTGTTAGTTTTAGCATATAAATTGTTCGGCATCATGTTGTTTTTGTTGTTTAGTCGCCCAATTGTGTCCGACTCCTCGCAGCCCCATGGACTGCAGCACGCCAGGGCTCCCTGTCCCTCACCATCCCCCGAAGCTTGCCCAAGTTCATGTCCATTGCATTGGTGATGCCATCCAGCCATCTCATCCTCTGATGCCCTCTTCTTCTGTCTTCAGTCTTTCCCAGCATCAGGGACTTTTCCAATGGGTGAGCTCTTCTCATCAAATGACCAAAATGCTGGAGTTTCAATTTCAGCATCAGTCCTTCCAATGAGTATTCAGGGTTTCCATCATGAGCAAAGAGTAAACAAAAGGATAGCTGAAAGGTGTCTTTAGATAGGAAGTTTCAGAAAGTGGCGAATGCACATGAAACCTGTCAGGAGTAGCTGGTGTCTGTTCCAGGTCTGTGACTTATTTTTTGTCATGTTCTTAAGATCTTGAGGTGAATATAGTCCTGACTGATGTGTGCAGCCATGCAGTTACTTGACAGGTGTCACCATTGGTCAGTCCTACATTGAACTTGTGAAGATTGCTTGTAGCCCCATCACTTAACATCATGGATTATTGCTCAGAGGGAACTTTTGCTTTTCTCTTTACTGTGCAAAATGTGAGTTTCTGTTCCCCATCATTTGGTATTGCCTGGAGTGGTGTACCTCAGCTAACAGCTGCTGGGTGGTCTTATCTGTCCTTCATATGCACATAACCCCATAGTGCAGGGTTGCAGCCAGAGGGTTTAGTTTGGGTTTCTTAGTGAAACCCAGTGTTGACAAAATCACTTGTGACGGCTGCAATTCAAAAGTAGTTTAATACTATAACTGTGTGGAAGTTTGAATACTTTCACAGTTCTGCAAATCTGTGTTTTAGTGATTCCCTGACACCATAGTCTGACAGTCTAGTTAAAGACATTCTGAACTGTCCAGAGGACTTCCACTCATCTGTCTGTGAGGGCTGGTGTGCTAACTGATTGAAATGGGAAATAAAATAAGGCCCTGTTGCTTCATGGGCTATCTCTAGAGCTCCTTTGGATCCTTCTGTTAGGAGTCGTGAGAGCTTCCTAACCCTGGAGTCTGGGGCTCATGAGTTTCCAGAGGTGTCACTGTGCTCACCCACCTGAAGGCCTCTGAAGATCCTGCCCAGTAAATTGTATTATACCTATTCTGTTCTTCGCATGGTCCCACTTCCTTGTTGTAGAACATTCCTTGTCCTGTTGCTCGCCGGCTGACTCCCTCAGCCCTGGTCATCTCTTTGAATCAAGCCTTAGAATTTCTGCTTAGGTCCTCTGCTTAGTTCTCTCCTTTGCCTTCCTCCTTCTCATTCCTTCCTGCCTCTAGTAATAGTCTGTTTTTTCTTTAGAAATCTAAATTCACCACTTTCTTCATTGTCCATCTCAGTGTCAACCCCAAACCATGCTTAAGGTATAATCTCCACACTTCGAAGTGCTGCAGCAGTGTTGTTTGTACCACATTAATGTGTATTTGCACATTGATCTTTGCTTCTCTGTTTGACACACGGATATGTCTTTCAGTCCCAGCAAAATTTTCCGTAGAACAGTAGCCCTGTCTTCTAGCTTATATTTTTCACCATAGTACCTGTATGCACAGCACCTAAAGATAATCCTTGGTGAAATATTGTGGCCTAAAATCTTACTGAATCTTAATGTATTTTTCTTGAAGAGCAGTCTGTAATTCCTTTTTTTTTGTTGGATGTTAGTTTTTTAAAAAGCTTTATTTTGAAAAATAAACTGCATTAATATGAGAAGAAATTTTGAAGTTAAGCTCCAAGAACTTTTAGTCATAGTGCACATTTTATTGAGAACATAGCTTTAAAATGAGTAAAACTTAAATTTTACTTGGGCCATGACTGTATCGTGTGTTTGACATGCCTGGCCATGTAGTGTTCTGAAATCATTATAGCTGATTTTACATAGATGCCTTCTGAAATTTTACCCCAGCAATTTTTCCTTCCATCACCGCCACAACAGCACCACTTCTCAAGTTGTACTCTTGCACAGTGTTTGTTGTTGGAATGCAGTTATCACAGACTACGTTGACGTGGCTGGTGGAACATCCAGGTGTGTTTCAAGACCTGTCAGGATGCTTAGTTTGGGGTTTTTCTAACTCTGTACATAGAGGGTGTTTTTGTTTACGGCATACTTTTGTTTACTTCATCCTTCCTCAGTGCACTGCACTCTTCTGGCTTGATTCCTCATGTTTTAAAAAATTCTTGTCCTTCCAACTCAATTAGATGAACTCTATCCTAGATCTCTTATTTTGTATCTCCCAAATTAGATGACAGTTAAAAGTCTGAATTAGCTTTCATTTGAATCACTTGGTCACCTCTTGGTTAATGAGATAACAGTGAAATAAAAATACTAAAGAACATTTTGAGGAAGGGAAGTTATATTTCTTGGTGATCAGTATTACTTTAGTACTCATTATCCAGATTACTTATTGTTCTCTTGTTAGGTCTGGGTGTTGTTTTTAGGTTACTTTTTTCTCAAGCTCTTTTAGCAGTGGCTCAGGGATGATGGAAGATAACTAACGTTGTTGTGATTTCTTTCAGATTTCGGCCTATTAAAGGAAGGCAGGAAGAACTCAAAGAAGTTATTGAACGTTTTAAGAAAGATGAGCACTTGGAGAAAGCCTTCAAATGTCTGACTTCAGGAGAATGGGCACGGCACTATTTTCTCAACAAGAACAAAATGCAGGAGAAATTATTCAAGGAACATGTGAGTTTATTGAAAAAATTAATACTGTTTATGTTTGGATAAGATTAAAGGAAACTAAAATGTAAATTTTAGTGAACACTGAAATTTTAAATCCAGTTTTCATAAAACTAATTAATATGGTCTAATAACACATTAGATAATTTATGACTATCCATAGAGAAAACTACACTGTCTAGAAGTGAAACTTTCTGTGAACTCTTAGAGTAACATAGCCAAGTCACTGTGTATACAAATTTGTGAAATTTTAAAATAACAATATTTATTACTTAATCTTAAATTTTTTCATTGATGGTGGTGGTTTGCTTTTATAATTCTGAGAGTCTAGCAAGATAAATAATTTAGTGTGAAGTAAGTGTCAAAAATTTTTTTCTGTTTTAGGTATTTATTTATTTGCGAATGTTTGCAACTGACAGTGGATTTGAAATATTGCCTTGTAATAGATACTCTTCAGAACAAAATGGAGCCAAAATAGTTGCAACGAAAGAGTGGTAACTATTATACTAGTGTAAACCCATAAAATAATCTTGTTTAAAGTTCTCTCTCAAATTACCATTCCTGTGCTAAGAAAGCTGTGGGAAGGGCTAAAACCAGAGCTCACCCTAAAGGAGCCAGTGCAAGGCCAGCGCCTCAGCCCCGTGACTTGGGGTTGGGACAGTGGTGAGTTGGAGTCTGAGTTGAACCAGGTCCTACTTCTAAGCCAGGTGCTTGTGTTTTCCTCTTAACAAGTCCAGATGCCTGTTCAGGGACTGCTGGAAGGTTAGGGGTGTGAGGCTTAGATAACCTAGCTTCCAGAATCAATCCTTCACTGGCCTGTAAGAAAGGTTACGTGTGAAGTTTTAATGGTCCAAGGAATTTCATGTGCAAAATCTTACTAGCACATTGCCTCCTAAAAATACAGGTATGTGCCAGCTCAATAAATGTAGTACAGTTGACCCCAGGTAGGAGGGATGAAAGCCGTACAGGAAAGAGAGTATGTGGTTATATCTTTCTTCATTAGAAAGAAGAAGGCCTATTCCCTGCATTACCTCCCAGAAGAAACCTGTAGCCCCCCTCTTATATGACCCCCGACATTTTTTATCGCAAAAATGTTAGGGCCAGTTACCTGAAAATGGAACGTTAAAGAGCCTGACTCTCGGCCTCTTGAAAAAACTATGTGCATGTGCGTGAGCGAGAGTGTGTGTCTGCCGTGGGGTGGCGCCCAGCCTGCTGCTGGGCTCTCGTGGCTCCCTGCCTGGCGGATGGGCGTGAGGCTGGAGCTCTGGAGCTCTGGGGCTGCACCATCTAGGACAGGGCCAGTCATGCATGGCTACTGGACTTTTGCAGTGTGGCTGGTCTTCAAGAGTTGAGAAGTGCTGCAGCTGCGGTGAACATGTCAGATTTTATATTGTGTTTCTCATGCGTATTTCATACTTTTGACCTGCTGAAATAGCATTTGGGTTGTATCGGGTTAAAACATACTACTGAAAGTGCTTTCACCAGTCCTACTTTGCTCTCTCCCCACAGCCCCTAGATTGGTGCGTGTCGGGCTCGCACCGCGTTTGGCTGGCGCTGCTCCAGAGGGCAGCGCCCCGTCCTGGGTGCCCCTGACCCTGCGCTGCTGCTCCTCTGTCCTTCCCCAGGCTCAGCAAGCTGGGTCCAGAGCGGTGGCGCTTTGAGTCCTCCCTGCCTGCAGGGCGCAGGGGCCTCAGAGGTGTGGGTAGCACGATGCCTGCAGCGCTTCTGGTGTCTCGTAGGGATCAGGCAGCTGCGCAAGGCTGCGGGGCTCAGGGAAGAGGAGATGGTATCCAGGTGCGGTCAGCGTGAGTCAGTTAAAACACGCACAGCTAGGTCTTCTCAGTTCCTGGTATTTATTGGACAGGCTTATTTTATTAAAAGAAGCCTTATTATTTATAATTACTAGTAATTTTTACCATCACATATTTTAAATAGGAAACGAAATGACAAAATAGAATTACTGGTGGGTTGTATTGCCGAACTTTCAGAAATTGAGGAGAACATGCTGCTTAGACATGGAGAAAACGACTTCAGTGTCATGTATTCCACACGGAAAAACTGTGCCCAGCTCTGGCTTGGTCCCGCTGCATTTATAAACCACGGTAAGCTCTGTTTCCAAGGAGTTAGCTCTGGTGTCGGGTAGCGCTGCTATAACTGAGAGCAGTCTTATCTGTCTTCCTTTAAAGCAGGGTTGGAAATGGAAATTCTTTTTGCACAAACTTAAGAAAATTAGTATTCCTATAGTTTAACTCGAGGTCAAAAACTTCTATCAAAAATTGGGAAAATTATGTGGAAAGCTTATTTCAGATTTCTATAATTGTTCGTGTTTCAGATCTTATCTACAGTTAATTGACTTTATCTTTTGGACATTTTTCAGATTGCAGACCTAACTGTAAGGTAAGCATAAAAAATACTTTATCTCAAGTATTTTGTCTTTGCTTCAGGTATGCGTTTCTTAATGAGTTCATTTTATTTCAGTTTGTGTCAACTGGCCGAGATACAGCATGTGTGAAGGCCCTAAGAGATATTGAACCTGGAGAAGAAATTTCTTGCTATTATGGAGATGGGTTTTTTGGAGAAAACAATGAGTTCTGCGAGTGTTACACTTGTGAAAGGTAAAGTATCGATTAATGCCTGATGACTGTGAGAATGAGTGCACGCTGTCTTCTCATCATTTAGGTGGCAGGGATAGTCTTCTGTGTTATGTAGCGTCACACCCAGGACAGCAGACAGGAGCAAAACCAGAGAAGACAGAACTACTTAAGGGCACCAGTGCCTGGCCTTTTAAAATGTTAAAATCATTCCCAGCTGTTCCCCTTATGAGTGAGTCAGAATATAGATGTGCTCCAGGAGAGAGTGGGGGACACACACACACACACACACACACACACACACACAGTTCCAGGGTGGGGTTGCTCCAGAATGGCAGGTGAGATTCACCACTGATAACCATTTAAAAACCCCAGGCTGTGTCTTCTGGAAGTCCTGTGTTTTGATGCACATGCTCTTCGCGATTCCTGAGTTCTGCAGCGTGATGAGGACCTTCCTTTTGACACATCAAGACGGGTCCTTGTGGAAGCCCTCCACATCTGACCGAGCAGAGCTCCTTGTCCACACCGCTCGTCTCCTGGTGGCCACGTGTCTGTAGAGCTCGCAGAGGCAGCTTCCCAGGCTTGTCTGGGTCGGCGTAGCCCACGGGGAGCGCGCCTACGTTTGGCGTTTGTTACTGTTTTAGTTTGTTAATTGAAGTGTAATTGATTGGCAGTCATGTTAGTTTCAGCTGTGCAGCACGGTGGTTCATTTATACTTGTGTGTGTGTGTATGTATATACACATTCTTCTTCAGGTGAGCACACCTAGGTTTATTGAACCCGTTGTACGTGCTGTGTGAGGTTCCGGGTGCTTTACTCTCCTGGACTCAGTCCTCAGCCGTCCTGGGAGAGGATGGTAGAGCGGCCACGCTGCAGGTTCAGAGGCCCGGCTCAGCCTGACTCAGACCCTGCGCTCTCGCCACTTCATGTTTTTTGGACGCAGGAGCAAAGATGGGGGCGCTGCTGTTTCTCTCACCGTGAGCACCAGCTGCCAGCCCCCAGCCCTGGGAGGCGTGCTGGCTCCCCAGGGCTCGGCCCTATCTCCTTCCTGGTCAGCCAGCGGCCTCTTGTGTCTTGAGAGCAGAGGGTGGAGCCATGGCACAGCCCCAGCTGTTTCTCTCCCAGCTCCCGGGTCCTTGACTTGAAAGGGTGGCAGGAAAAGGAGGGTTGGGAGTGTGGGGGGATAAAATTTATCTTTTTATAAATTACAAAAATGGTTCAGACATTGGTTAAATCTTAGGCCAGTCCACAGAAAGACCCTTTAACCCATGAAGTCGTTTAATTACAGTCAAATAATGCCTTAAAACCATTTTGTAGAGACAACATGGTATAGACAGAGCTGAGGTCTGACATCAGACTCCCTAAGTTGGAATCCTATGACTCTACATTTTATTAGCTGTGTGATCTTGGGCAGCTTAGCTGCTTTTGTGCCTTAATCACACCATCTGTGAAATGGAGATAACACTAGGGTATCATAAGGTTGCTGTGAGGATTAAAATTATCTCACAAAAAGTATATAAAACACACAGTTAATATTCAGGTGTTAGATGTAAAAGCATTTTGTGGTTTCTGATCATTTTCCTATTAGAATGTAAGTTCCATGAAGGCAGAGATTTTTATCTTTTTCGTTTATTGCTATGTTGCCAGCATCCAAAACAGTACCTGACATGTAGTGATAACTGTGTGCTTGATAACTGTTTGGTGAGTGAAGGAATGGAGTAAATGATACACTGAATATGTTTAGGAGTCTTCCTACAAAATGTAACCTCATACATAGGAATCCACACCAGCCGTGAGCCAGCTCTTTCACTAGTTCAGGACTGCATGTTCCTTGGGCAGCTTAGTTCTCCCTGAGACTGTTTCTCACAGGTCAGGTGGGCTGATCCTGCCTACTCCACAGGGTTAGTGCAAGAGATAAATAGAAATGTGCAAATCGCTTTTAAGTGGAAAGGCCTCGTACGGAGCAGTAGGCACAGCTATTATCAGACTACTGGGGAGTTTGATTTAAAGGTTGTCTGGGAATATTCTTGAAATCCTCAGGAACAAATTGTTTCTGCCTTTCCAGAAATTAGGCGAGAGAATGAGACCAGTCAGAGGAACTCTTTCAGTTATTCATCTTCGAGTTGCTGAATAGTTCTCAGGTTAGACCTCGTCCAGGCAGGGTAAACGAGGCTAGCACAGTGCCAGCTATGAGAGCAGTGCTGTGAAGGGAGAGAGACGGTGTGCTGGCTGCTGAGGGGTGAAGACGGGGCCGGTGAAGTTGGGAGAGTGGAGTGTTTACCAGGCCTTGACATCGTGGATGCAGTATCCAGAAGATATTTGATGCATGCTTCTGGGCAGTAACCATCCTGACACAGTAGTAATACTTTTCATAAGTAGATAGTGCAAATGTAACTCGAGAATTTGAAGAATAAAATCTAATGAGGGATTGAAGAATATGAAGTACCAAAGTATTTTAAAGTATGAAAAGTATATGAAGGACCGAAGTATTTTAAAGTATATGAAAGTATGTCTGATGACAACCACATTTTGAAGTATACTTAGGGGCAGTTTGCTTTAATAGGTATTAAAATTTACTGTGAGATAATTGAGTTCAAAACCTAATGATACTGGCTCAGATATGAACAAATAGGTAAGAGGACATGGACGAGTCCTGAAGCAGAGCTCGGTGTGAATGAGATCTTAATGCCATTGTAGGGAAATGATGATTTCTTTAATAAAAGGTGGTGGTATAATTCATGATGGGTCTGGAAGAAAACCAAGCTCACCTCCCGTCTCATACCATATACAAGATAAATTCCAAATAGATTAAAATTTTAAATTTAAAAATTATGTAAAATGATTAGAAAAATTTTAGGAGACTTTTATGTCTGAACTTGGGGTAGTGGAATTTTCTGAAAGAAGTTAGTATAAGAAATGGTGAATATGAACATTTTTGAATAGCCAAAAGCAAGTTAGATAAATGATAAACTTGAAGGGAGGGAAAAGCACACATATGGCCAAGTTATATCCTAAGGACAAAAAGCTCCTAGAGCTCATAAAGAAGAGGTAGACGCCACTGGAGAAGAGGGGTATGGAGGATGCCACACAGAAAATGATAGCTGTAAACGAGGTAAGTAAAACAATAGCTAGGTATTCGTTTTCACCATCAAATTGGTAACGTTTAGAAGTACACTCTGTGCTGCAGCTGAGGCTATGGGGAGACCAGCCCTCACACAATGTCAGTAGGGCTGTAAAGTACTTTAACCTTTTGGGAACTCCTTCTGGCAGTATTTGTTCAAAATAATAGCACCCTTTTATCTGGCAGTCAATTCCACATGGAAGAATCTGTCCTGTGGAAATAGGAGCACTAGTTAGTGTGGATTTGGTTTCAAGAACAATGTAGCAGCAACATTCATGGTGGCAAGCAGACACCAAAACACCGACAGGTTTCAGTCATCACCATCTAGTGCTTGAATAGATTATGGTATGTTTAGTCTGTGTAAAAGGTACAGCTTTCAAAACATGTGGAGTTCAGAAGTGCTTGTGCACAATATAGCGATAAGAGAGTTGGGGTAGGAGGAAAGGAGGAAAGCTGCTTCCTGAGTGGAATGTGTGGTATTACCTATTTGGGGTTTTTTTTTCGCTTAAGGAGAAGCAACAGTGGGTCTAGGTGTGTAGCTTGCGGCAGAGCAGCAGATGAGGTGCAGGCAGGTGGTTAACACAGGTGCTGGGGCTCTGCGCATAGAGGTGACTGGGAAGCTCGGGGAACTTCCGCTTTGGGGAGGCAGAGCCAGAGGTGGTCTCACCTGTTGCAGCAAGCGCATATCACTGTCATAAGTTAAAAAGAAATCAAGGAAGTAGAGAAGCACGTGAATAGTCATTTTACTTAAAAAAATTAATTTCCAGATAATCCTACCCATGATTATTTGTTTTGTAATTAGTATGGCCCATCTTGGGCTCAGCGGTAAAGAAGCCACCTGCCTATGCAGGAGATGTAGGTTTGATCCCTGGGCCAGGCAGATGCCCTGGTGAAGGAAATGGCAACCCACTTCAGTGTTCGTGCCTGAGAAATCTCATGGACAGAGAAGCCTGGAGGGCTACAGTCCATGGGGTGGCAAAAGTGTCAGACATGGCTTAGCGACTAAACAACGATAGGAATAATAAAAGCAGGTTACAAATCATTTTTAGCTAGTGGTAAAAGCAGGTCTTTTAATGTCTCTTATTTAATAACATTTTGTTAACTTAATGATGTTCATCCAGTAACTTTAAAGGAGGAATTTTACAGTTTTCATTATTCCAGAAGTGAGATTTTCACTAAGATAGCCTAGCCTTCCTAATATAAAATTTCAGTTAGAATTTATTTGTCTGTAACATTATCTTCTAAGTAATGGCTTAGTTTATGGAAATTCTCTAGTTTCTCTTTTAATTCCTTCATTCTCAATATTCAGTAATGGAGCATTAAATTATGCAGAACAAAGCTAGGGTATAATTAACAGGTAGGTTATTTTTACCTACACTTGAAATTCTGCAGGGTCCAATACCTTCTCAAGTGATTGACAGTCATCTTAACAAAGTGTTTTAAGTCTGGGGCTTTGGGGCATTAATTTTATCTCCGTATTTGTTTTGAGAGTCCTAGACTTAGCAGCTTGCAATGATGATTAAACCTCATCAGTTCATCTCACCTGCTGACCTGATGTGGACAGGTGCTCTCAGCAACCAGGCTGACGGCAGTGAGTATGCTGTTTGTGTAACCTGTGCTGTTTCTTTTTCAGACGGGGAACTGGTGCTTTTAAATCCAGAGTGGGACTGCCTGCGCCTGCTCCTGTTATCAATAGCAAATACGGACTCAGAGAAACAGATAAACGTTTAAATAGGCTTAAAAAGTTAGGTGACAGCAGCAAAAATTCAGACAGTCAATCTGTCAGCTCTAACACTGATGCAGATACCACTCAGGAAAAAAACAATGCAAGTAAGTAAGGGAGGTTTGATAAGCGTATCTTTTTTTTTTCTTAAGTATTTTCACAGAGTTTGCTTTCTAAAGCATGCTTTAGTAGCTTTGATCTTTTGAACATTGAGAGCAGCCCTGGGATTCGTGTACTTCACCAGCACTGCAAGGTTCTAGAAGTGATTCAAGCACAAAGCAGTCTCTCTCAAGCCTCCAGATTTCAGATGGTGCTGAATTGTCTGCTTGTCTTGAATACTTGGTAACGGGACGCTAAATCTCTTCGTCATGCGTTCCAGGGTTGGCATGTTTGACAGAAAGCTGTCACGGTGTTAGTCTCTGTAACAGTGTTGTTAGGTCTGCAAGAAGACAGAGGCCGGGGCAGCAGCACACAGGCACTTGTCTGTTCTGCACTGACCAGTCTGTTAGCAGGGATGATGGACTTGGGGGGTTCATAGCTTCTGGTGTCAAGGCTTCCACCTTTTTACTACCCACTTGCCATTTTCAGAATGAACTGACCCAGTTGCCAAGCCACCAGTCCCCAGACTCAGAGTTGTGGTAGAGCAGCAGTTTGAATGTCACTGTACTGTGACGAGTTGTCATAGCCACTGCCGAAAGTGGGAAGAGAGGTGGAAAGGAGAAGGGGAGAAGCTTTAAGATCCCAGTGGCTTGTGGGGGCAAGACCTAATGGAAACTGGAAAAAGAGAATGAAGAATAAAGAGAAAAGAAAGAAGAAATCCCAAATGAGCATAAGAAAACACATCATGTTTGTGGAGCTTTGACATCCTGGAACCATTCTGATCACTACTGGTTTTCATCTGGGTGACACCAGTTTGCTCTAGTGGCCACTAAAGCAGTAGGCTCTTCAGTCTTTCTTGTCTCTGATAGGAAGAAAATTTAAAAGTTTTAACTTGATAGTCCCCAGAATATGCCTATTTTGGCACTGTAAATGTCTGTACATACTTCTGAGCAGTAAGTACCCTCTGAGGTCTGACTCTTTGAGACTCTTTTTCCTGTCATTTGATGTTTTGAGCCACCTCTGGGTGCTCTCCGCTACAGAAAGTCCCAGAGAGAAGGGACGGCGTCTCCCATGATGATGAGTGTCACTGCCACGAGTTTCCGAATCAGCCTGCTGCTGGAGTCGGAGGCCAGGGCTGCCCTCTGTAGTGTGGGAGGCAGCGCTCTGTTCCTCTTCAGTCTTTAACGTCCAGAGTGAACCAAAAAGAGCAGTTAGTTTGTCATTCACTGTTGACTGTTGGTTTTAATAATAAATGCAGCATAATCAACATTTTGTTTTCTGAGTCTGGTTCCTTGGTGAAACTGGAGACTTTGAAGCCCCTTGTATAAAGTGTCTACATGATAACACTTAAAAGCGAGCCGCCCCCGTGAGTGGAGATGGCCCTGACGCTGTCCACACAGCTCTGTGGCGTTGCTGGGGTGTTTCGTGTTCTGATGCACTAACTCTGTTAACTGATGTGCAGGTACTGAACTCAGTATACCACTTAGTGTAAAAAATCAAAATAGGGGAAAAAATTTTGGAAGGTGCTGAGTGTTCTATTATGTGACCATCTAGGGAATATATGTTAATAAACCAAATACGTGTTCAAAGTCTGCTCTTGTTAAAGAGATAGAAAAGTGCGTGAAGCTCAGGCCCTTCTGTCAGGGACTTCAGGCCTCAGCTCCAGAACCGGACCAGTACACAGTAACTCTGAGGACTACATGCCACTTCCTAAAGGCTGGAGGGAGCAGGTAATCCTTTGAGCAGTAGTCTCAGCATTACAGATTAGAACTAGCACTTTACTGTGACTGCTCATATTGGGGTGCTTCCTTTATTCAGATTACCTTTCTACAAAATGGTTGTCTTGAGTAATTCAAGAGCTGGCGTAAGTAACTGTGAGGATCATGAGACCGTTACTGGACATGGCCGGGGGCTCTGAAGGAGCTCGAGGCTTACTCCAGCCATCTCTGAGAACCTTGTTCACTAAGTATATTTGTAGCAATATTTCTCAGGCTCTTCCAAGTGTTCTTTTAGGCCGTATTTCTTTTGGTGTTTGTGTCTTGACCATGCTCCTCTACCTGTTGAAAGGAGGACCTTTTGAGTCTGCAGTGGGTGCAAGGCCAGAGCTGCCCAGCCTTTCTCCTGGGTGGCATGGGCAAATCTTAGGTGTACAGGTTGGAAGTACCCATCTTATCCCACAGTTTGCTTAGAATTCAGCAGCTCACAGCTGGAGAGGAACTGCTTTCTTTGAACAACATACATATTCTTCTTAAACATTTCTGCCTAGTTGGAAGAAAAAATTACTTCTTCCTTCTATGCAGCTCCTGTTTTGGAATCTTCTCAAGAACCACAACTTGACTGTTTGCTTTAGCATCCAGAGAGGAGACAAGAGATCCATTTTCACAGAGTCAGTCCACAGACCTGAACTATACGCTGTTACTAGAAGATTCTGGGTTTTTTGGCTCTTGTGCCTCAGGGGCTAGGCCACTGCCCACAGTGCTGCCTTAGGATGTGAGTGCAAGTCCCAGAGGACTCCCCCCAGCGGAATCATCTCATTCAGCTTGACTGAGGAGCACCCATCCTGGAGACGGACTGGGCCACCACTTGTCACTCTCTGTCCCGCCACAGACATCACTAGTGAATCTGAATGCTCTTTCCTGCTGAGCCTACAGGCTGCTTCCTAATCCTTTCCAACACCCTGTTCCCGGCAGACATGCCCATGGTGGTCCCGTGAGGTGGAGCCTGCTTGTGGTGCCTGATAAATTCCTTGAACTGAAGTCCTTAGACCCCCCTGTTGTGAACATCTCAAGCTGTGTGAGGCCTCATGTTCCCTTGGTCCCACTGTGTGTGTTTTTGGGGCTCTTCCAGTGCAGAGCATAGATACAGCCCAAACCATTGGGGTGCTTTGGCATTGTTTCCCTGCACTTGTTCCTGGCTGTCATTCTTGAACCCCAGGCAGAGCTGCCTGATGATTTTGAGGGCACCCTGAGGTCACCATGATGGCCACACCGCAGGTCCTTTACCAGGAGCTGGCACTGGCCTCAGGATAGCTTAGTGGTGTGCCTTAGAGGCCACCTGACAGTGTGGTCACCATCGAGCCAGAAACCTTGGTTCAAATCCCATCTCTGCCCCTTACCAGATGGACACTTGACAGGCACGTGAGTCCACGTGACCCTGGTTTTCACTTAGGGTAATAGCTCTTACCTCAAAGAATGCTTATTAGGATTCAGGTCATACTAATTTGGCCATCCTGCGCTGTACCTAGTATATACTAATGGCTAAGGGTGGTGTCTCCACCCCAAAGCACTGTCCAGGTTTATGCGGTTGGGATTTGTCCCCCGTGAGGGAAGGGTACCACATGGGGTGTTCGTGCTGAAGCCAGGGGAGCCACCGCCCTGCCCGCCTCCACTGTGTCAGGATCTTTAGTCTCCTGATAGACTTTTCTTGGTTCAGCGCCTCTCCTTCAGCCTGCTGTTGCTGGCACTCCCCATGCAAGAGAGGGTGGCGGCGCCTCCGTGGGATGGTGAAGAGCCCTGGGCACTTAGTCCCATTACTCACAGTTGTCTTACCAGCTGTGCTGTTTCTCTCCTTTGACTTGAGCACACCTTGGAGCTGGGCTTTTGATAAGAGAATGCTTTTCAAAGGAAATGAGAATACACCAATAAATACATAAATATGTAAGTGAACTCTACGGCAAAAAGATGTAGCATCGCCTACAGTCTCTGTTGTGCTCTTTAGAACACAGACATACTAAAGTGCTTTGTCAGTGGTTCACTGCAGTCACCTTACAGCCTCCTGAAAGGAGGGGTGCAAGGGGGAGAGCCGAGATTCAGAATCACCACACAGTGAGATTCATCCAGGGCTTAAAAGGAAGTGCCGAGTGTGGAGAACCTCAGGTGCTGTGAGGAGTCATGAAAGGCTTCCTGAGAGAGGTGTTTGCTGAGCTGAGTCTTGAAAGGGGGTGAGAAGTTGGCCACATGGACTGTGCTCAGAGCAGAGGGCCCGTCCCAAATGAGGACGTGAAGACCAGTGTAGGGTTTGAGTCGATAGGGTCATCAAGGCTGGAAGAGAAGGGATGTGACTGGAATTGACCATTTTGGACTTTATTCTTAGGTCTTAGGTTACGGGAAGGTTTCAAGCCCAGAGCTGACCAGAAGTCCCAGGAAAATCACCCTGGGCTGTGGTGGGGAGTGGAATGCTGGGGAAGCAGTAGGGGGCAGGGACAGGCAGGCGCTGGTGCCAGAGTCACGGCAGGAAACGGTGGCGTTGGGAATGGAGGGGAGGTGGGTCCAACCACAGTGCAGGAGTGAACTCCTGGAGATGTGGTGGCTGGCATCAGGGATGACCTCCCTGTTTCTGCTCAGGCAGCTGACTGCCTGGTGGTGGTGTTGAACCAGATGGAGAGCAGGAGGAGGAGCAGGAGGCTTGGTGGTGAGTTCCCTTTGGGCATGTTGGCTTGTGAGGGGGCTTATGAGACCACCTTAGCGGGAGATCAAGGTCCAAAGGGTAGGGTGAATCTAATTAAGGAGGGGTTTGGGCTGGAGAACATGGTATGGGAGCTGTCAGCATGGCAATGTGAACAGCCGGGACAGAGGGGCCACTTGTCCCTGGGAGACTGAGTTTTGAAGGGGTCCAGGTCACGGAGTGCAGGCCACGGGGCAGCTGGAGGAAGCCTGTCAGGGACGCAGCGGGACAGCCAGGGGATGGCTCTTGTGAACAGCCAAGGAGGGCCGTTCAGGAAGAAGAGTGGCTCGCAGTGTCTCCTGCAGAGAAACAGCAAAGGTCCCAGCTGAAACGTCTTCATGGGTTTCATGGCAAGGAGACTGTGAGAGAGATTGTCCAAAGCTCTTTCTTGAGGGCGATAAACTGGATCCAAACTGCAGGGGGATTGCTGTCAAGGATACAAGAAGTACGTGATCATTGCAGAGGAGTGATTGCAGGTCTGAAACGAGAAGCTTGAGCATAGAACGGTCCTTGAAGAGCCATGGAGAGAGGTCACCCAGCAGCCACAGTGAGAAGGACGGACACCAGCACCCTGGGGCGTTCCCATCAATAAGCACACCTCCACTCACCTTGTAGGAAGCCCTATGAGCATAAGGAAGTCTTTTAGCAAAAGGGTTCCCTGGATATCCTCATACTTTAAAAGTTATTTCTGGCAAGTTCTGGGTAACTCCAGTTCATGATACCATGCTTCTCAAGTTGAGTGACACCAACCTTTACTGCTACTACTATTCCAAAAATAAGTTGCCTCGCTGGTGGCAGCCTGCAGGGAGAAGTGTATTCTTAGTTCAGTCAGGGGATATTGTTCCTGGGATTGTGCTGTTTGGAGATCCCAAAGCCACTTATGAACCAGTTCCTTAGTACAGAGACTTCTATTCTTGGTGGTCTGATACTTTGGGAACTCCGTTAGGCATTCTTTCTTCTCTCTCAATAAAAACGACCTAATGGTAACCTAAGTTGCTCAGCCATGCAGAAGGAATAGCAGTTGCCCTGGGCGACCCCCAGCATGGAATGAATGATAGTCTTGTTGGGAAATGTCCTGGGCTTACCCATAGTAAACTGCTTTTCATTCTGTTTTCTGCTAAGAGGTGGTCAGTATTAGTGTGGTCATCTCAACATCCCTAGTGAATGATGTAAAGAGGTATTTTGATGGGAAGAGGTCTTCAGGTGGGGGATGGGAAGCAGACAAAGTCATGGAGAAAAGGGCTCCTGTAAAACACTATAAATACAGATCCAGTGTGTAAGCAGAGAGAAAAACAGAAGGCAGGAAGTCAGCGGCAAGGTCAGAGGTTCACCATGGAGGGAGCTTAGCCTTGAGTCACATGTAAGCCTTTCGAGAAGCCTTTCAGCTGGCATACTAGTTTCCAGGTTTTGTCCCCATGGGGGTTGTTGCAGCCTTTTGGGGTCCTCATCCAGAGGGAGGAATTTGGGTCCCCCGTTCCGAGTGTGACTGCAGCTGTGTCGCTCTTCCTTCTTTCAGTCTAGTCAGCAGCGGGCAGTCACTGGAGGGATGGGGTGAGCTAAACCCTGCAGCCTCAGAGTCTCTGCAGGTGCTCACAGCCCTGAAGGGAACGGCTTCAACAGTGTGATATTTGGGGTAAATATCTACTGGGAGTGACAGTATGTGGTTCTTGTTCAGTCGCTAAGTTGTGTCCAACTCTTTGAGACCCCATGGACTACAGCACACCAGGCTCCTCTGTCCTCCATGTTTTGCTCATAGTCATGTCCATTGAGTCGATGATACTATCTAACCATCAACCTCTGTCGTCCCCTTCTTTTGCTTTCAGTCTTTCCCAGCATCAGGGTCTTTTCCAGTGAGTCAGCTCTGCATCAGGTGGCCAAAGTATTGGAGCTTCAGCTTCAGCACCAGTCCTTCCAGTGAATGTTCAAGGTTGATTTCCTTTAGGATTGACCGGTTTGACCTTGCAGTCCAAGGGACTCAAGAGTCTTCTCCAACACCACAGTTCAAAAGCATCAATCCTTCAGCAGTCACTCTTCTTTATGGTCCAACTCTCACATCGGTACATGACCACTGGAAAAAACATAGCTTTGACTATACGAACCTTTGTCAGCAAAGTGATGTCTCTGCTTTTTAATATGCTGTCTAGGTTTGTCATAGCTTTCCTTCCAAGGAGAAAGCATCTTTTAATTTCATGGCTGCAGCTGCTATCCACAGTGGTTTTGGAGCCCAAGAAAAGAAAATCTGGCACTGTATCCACATTTCTTCCCTTCTATTTGCCATGAAGTGATGGGACCGGACGCCATGTTCTTAGTTTTTTGAATGTTGAGTCTTAGTGTTTTCACTCTCCTGTTCACCCTCATCAAGAGGCTCTTTAGTTCATCTTTCTGCTATTAGAGTGGTGTCATCTGTGTATCTGAGGTTGTTGATATTTCTCCTGGCAGTCTTGATTCCAGCCTGGGATTCATCCAGACTGGCATTCTGCGTATGGTTCTTAGGATCTCTTTCTCAGTTGAAGACATTGTAATAGAATTTGTCTCCTGGAGCCCTTTAGTCACGTGTTGCTGTTCTGGATTACTGGTCAAGTACTATGCTCTGAGTTAATGAATAATGGAAACATTTTAAATGATGAGTTTAAGAAGAATTTGTGAACGAAAAAAATACTGGTTTTGCTTAGCTTTACTTCAGATGCTCTCTGCAGTAAAATATTAAATCAGGAAAAGAAATTCTCAGTTTGGACTAGTGTCCTGACAAGCTTAGAATGAAATCTAGGTCCTTGCTGTGCTAAGAACCCTTTAACCCTGAGTTTACTTCCCTGGAACGTGAATCAATGCTTCTTAAGTTAGAGGCAGAAATTAGAGGGATAACGTAAAGAAAAACTGTAGGAATTGCTTGTGTGCAGACAGAAGCTCACTTGGGGCCTGTGTACCACCTGTGTGTGGAATTGAAACACTTCACAGCTAATCATCTGGGTGTTGGCATTGTTTTGTTGAACATTACTGGGTTACCAAGACTGTTTTTCACCCTTATTTTTTCTTTTAACTTTACAGCTTCTAACCGAAAATCTTCAGTTGGTGTAAAAAAGAACAGCAAGAGCAGAACATTAACAAGGCAATCTATGTCAAGAATTCCAGCTTCTTCCAACTCTACCTCATCTAAGCTAACTCCTATAAATAATTCCAGGGTACCAAAGAAACTGAAAAAACCTGCAAAGCCTTTACTATCAAAGATAAAATTAAGAAATCATTGCAAACGGCTAGAGCCGAAGAGTGCTTCGAGAAAACTCGAAATGGGAAACTTGGTACTGAAAGAGCCTAAAGTCGTTCTCTACAAAAATTTGCCCATTAAAAAAGAGAAGGAGCCAGAGGGACCAGTGGAGGCCACGGTGGCCAGTGGGTGCTTAACCAGACACGCGGCGAGAGAGCACAGACAGAACTTGGAGCGAGGCACCCCTTCACATGCGGAGGGCGCCCCCTGCACCTACACAACCAGGCGGTCCATGAGGACGAGGATGACCTTGAAGGAGACCTCCGACATCAAGCTTGAACCAAATACGCTGGATGGCTATAGAAGTGACTTAACAGAACCTTGCCCGGATGGTGGTGAGCAGCTCGCTTCTGTGGCGACAGATGAAGAACTGGCCCATGAAGCTGCACAGAAGGGGGAAGCCAGGTGTCTTAAGAGCGACAGCAGCATGTCCAAAAAGAAGGCACAGCCGGCGAAGCTGGTGCGGCAGCTGGCAAAGGCAGAGGAAGCCAGTCCCGTGCATGAGTCCCCAGGCGGGCCCGGCATGGGGCCCGAGGCAGCGGGGGCCCACCCCGACTCGGGCGAGCACAGCGGCATGGAGGGCGTGCCCGGGAGCTATGCAGACTGGGCCCCTTCACCTGTCAGTGCATCCCTGATGACATCAGAGAGCTTCAAAACAAAAGACGGCTTCCGAACTGCGAAAAGTAAAAAAAAGAGGCGGATCACGAGGTATGATGCACAGTTAATCCTGGAAAATAACTCTGGGATTCCCAAGTTGACTCTTCGCAGACGTCATGACAGCAGCAGCAAGACAAATGACCAAGAGAGTGATGGGATGAATTCTTCAAAAATCAGCATCAAGTTAAGTAAAGACCATGAAAATGATAATAACCTCTATGTAGCAAAGCTCAACAATGGATTTAACTCAGGATCAGGCAGTAGTTCAACAAAATTAAAAATCCAGCTAAAGCGGGACGAGGAAAGCAGGGGGCCGTATACAGAGGGGCTTCATGAGAACGGGGTGTGCTGTAGTGACCCCCTGTCCCTCCTGGAGTCGCGTATGGAAGTGGATGACTACAGTCAGTACGAGGAGGAGAGCACAGACGACTCCTCCTCTTCAGAGGGGGCCGACGAGGACGAGGAGTATGACGAAGACTTTGAAGACGACTTTATCCCTCTGCCTCCGGCCAAGCGGCTGAGGCTCATAGTTGGGAAAGACTCTATAGATATTGACATTTCTTCCAGGAGGAGAGAAGATCAGTCTTTGAGGCTTAACGCATAATAAGCTCTTGGTCGTAACTTGACCCGGGATAACTACTTTAAAGAAATACAAAATTCCAGTCAATTATTCCTCAGCTGAAAACGTTTTAGTGGCAGCACTTCTATTGTCTCATCACTTATCAGCATAATACTGTAGAAAGTGTACAGCGTACTGACTCTTCTTAAAAAAGTCTGATTTGTGCAAATTTTTATTGTACTTTTTAAATAGCCTTCTTATGTGCAATTCTGAGTTAGAGGTAAAGCCCTGTTGTAAAATAAAGGCTCAAGCAAAATTGTACAGTGATAGCAACTTTCCACACAGGACATTGAAACCAATAATGTGGCTACACAGTTTCCTTTTTTTTAACTTTAAAAGCATCAACTGGCTCTTTAATATATGACTAAACAATAATTTAAAACAAATCATAGCAGCAGCATATTAAGGTTTTCTAGTATATGCTAATATCACCAGCAATGATCTTTGGCTTTTTGATTTATTTGCTAGGTGTTTCCCCCTTGGAGTTCTGTCAGTTTCACACTGTTTGCTGGCCCAGGTGTACTGTTTGTGACCTTGGTTAAATAGCAGACCATTGGGTGGGACTCAAATTGGTTTCTTTAAAAAAAAAAAAAAAGTACAATTACATGCGTGACAGCTAATTTTCAGTACATTACATGTACAAGGGTAGCAGTGTGCAGGATGAATTTCAATACAGCGTATTTATTGCTTGTCATGTAAATTAAAAGACCTTGTATTTAACACTTTTCAATCCTTTTAGATAAAATTGTTCTTTGCAAGAATGATTGGTGCTTATTTTTTCAAAAAATTTGCTGTGAACAATGTGACAACAACAAGCAACATTTATCTAATGAACTACAGCTCTCTTAATTTGGGTCTTCGAGTTTTCTGTTGCACTTGTAAAATGCTACAAGGAATATTAAAAAAAAAACTATTCACTTTAACTTATAATAGTTTATGAAATAAAAACATGAGTCACAGCTTTTGTTCTGTGGTAACCTATAAAAATGTTCGTCTTTGAAATTCAGTGTAAAGAACTGAAAACAGTGTATATGTTGTAAATATTTGTGTTGTGAGAAATTTTTGTCATAAGAAATTAAAAGAACTTACCAGGAAGGTTTTTAAGTTTAGAAATATTCATGCCAATAAAATAGGAAATTATAAATATATAGTTTAAAGCACTGCATCAGTGGGAGTTCTTGGCTTATGTTAGTTTATGTTTGAAAATATCAAAGATTTTTTTTTTACTATATTATCAGTTAACAAAAAAGAGGAGTCAGATTTAATTTGTTTTTGAAGCACTTTGAAAAGAGAAATTAATGTTTAAGTAACTTAATGAGCAAATTTTTGATTACTACTTTATGTTCAATACCAACCTTCCATTTCTCTGGATTATTTTACAAATCATTGGAAAAAAGAAGTTGAGAATATAAATCTGTAGCAGGTGTTTGACACCAGTGGGTCTCTTTATTTCTGGGAAATGTGTACGTGTGCTTTCGGATATACAGTGTTCCTGAGTAAAATCAATTTAGGGAATTCATGTAGTGTCTAGAAGAGTAGCCCATATCTTGAGATACGGAAAGGCCTCTGCAGGTAATGAGCAGTCCAGTGGGAAAACCTCTACTGTTAGGACTTCGTGATTCCTGCCAGCTTCTAGGTTCTTGAGGACATAATTTAAATTAAGTTCCTTAAAACTATTGCTAGTAGATTCCAAGTAGAAATTGGTAATATTCGTAAAGTTCTCTAATTTAAATTTTTCCGCTCCTTCCGTCCTTGAAGGAATGACTTCCGTGGTCTTCTCTCTCGTCTCGTCCCTATTTGTTACGGTGCAGTTACATCCCTCAGGTATTAACGTGGGATCAGACGGCCCACCTCGCCCACTCACACCCCCTCGGCTCACTCCATCTAGCATCTTCACCTCTCGATGTAGGGCGGTCCCACAGGTCTGTCCCCGAGCACGCAGAGCACTTTACAGACTCACCCAGCCCTCCCGAGTCTCTGGGTGGCCGTAGGGGGCAGGGGGCAGGGGGCTCACGCACCAAGAAGGTCACGCTTAGACCCTGCATCCGGGAGGCACCGGAGCACAGCGAGTCAGCCTGATTGGTGGGAACCCCACCTAGTTTGCAGTCTGGAAGAGGTTCAGAGACCACATCTTGAACCGTTCTTTTGGAATACCAACAATAGCCACTTCAGGAATTTCAGTCTTAAAAGAAAAAGTAACAATACCACATTTCCCACTTTTCTCCATTTTTTAAGCTTAACTTTAGTAATTTATTTATGACATTTAACTTTACTGAGGCCCCGTCTTTGGGGGCTGAGCTTCCCGTGGGTCCGGAGCAGTGAGGCCCTGCGGTCACTGCCTCAAGAGGCGGTGTGCACAAGCGCTCGGCGGCCTTGGCCGACGCCTTCCAGGGAAACCTGACTTCCGTTTTTACAGTGAGGGGCCTCAGTGTTGGCCTGCCTATGCTGTAGGACTCTGTGTGGAACGGCCAAGTCCACACACTGCCGACCACTTGGAAAAGGTTGCAATCAATAAAACTTCTAGCCTGAGCTTATGCAATGATTGGTAAAGATTGTGGCATTGTAAGAATTAGGAAACGATCGTAGAAATATATGTAAAGTATTCAATTTTCAATCATTTTTCAAATTACTGTTTTAAATTGTTTTGCTGAGTTGTAATACTTTTGAGATACAATGTATTCCTTGTACTGAAAGAATGAAAAAAAAAAAGGACTTTTTCAGCATTTGAGGTAAGTTCTTTAACGTTTCATTAAAAAACATTTTTTACAAATATTTTGTACATGCACTTGCAGTATTGAGGTTAATCATTTTAATAAATTCGGAAATTAAAACAGTTTGGCCGGTGTTCACTGTATCTGAGAAGATCAAAGTGGTGACTGTCCACAAGGTTTTCATTTACAGTAGAATTTGTAAAAATCACACTTGCTGAAGCTTTTCAGTATCTCCGCATGTTGAGTTTTCCGAGCCCTGGTCTCCTGCTCTTTTGCCATTTGGTTTAGATCGGGGTGAGCATACGTTCCTCTCAGTGGGGAGACCACTTGTAAACTGCATACCCTCCCAGCCCTTGAACCTGAGAAAGTTAACTAATGGTTTCTGACTTCTTGGTCTTTTCCCACATTGAACTGGACAGAACTGGTGCAAATAGGACTGGTGTGGGTCCCTCTTTCCCAGTTTCTGTAGCAAAACCTAGTCAAGAAAAGACTGACTTGGAATCAGGAAACCCGTTTGCCCAGCTCTGCAACATGTGGGTGACCCTGAGCAAGCTGTTCACCCCCAGACCACCTCTTTGCAGCACCTGTAGGTCAGCGTGGACACCTGGTCCTATTGCCAGTTAAGCTGCAGGGTGAGCCGTGTCCACTCTCAGGGCAGTCAGCGTGAGAGTTGCAACCAGGCCGTGCACTTGGGTTCCCAGTGTGACAAAAAGCTAATAGGTGGCCTGGTAAATCCACAGCCGCTTTCAGAGGCTCGAGTCTGCTGCCTGCCCTGAAGCAAGTTGCTCCTTCACAACCAGTGGACCGCTGCCCAGAGGCCTCATGTGAGTTGTTTCTCCAGTGCCGACTGTGAACGTGCTCCCACGGTGTTCGGAGCGGCACTCAGCAAGGTGCAAGCCTGCTGCTGACCTCGGGTAAACCCCAGGACTAGGAAGCATGACCTCTCCTGCAAGAGAGGACGAGAAGGTTTCCAGCCGCCTCCCTTCCCTGCTGTCACAGAGCTTGGGCATCGCTTGTGTTTGCTAGTGACAGGCCCAGAGGGAGAGTGGGTTTTGACTCTTCCAGAAGGGGCAGGCTACATGGATGGGCAGAATTGGGAAGGCGGGGGGAGGGTCTCCCGCTCGAGCTCCCTCCACCTGCCTTCTTGCACGTTGCCCCTCGCACTGTCCCAGGGTGTTAAGCTTTCGTTCTTGGAAGCAGTTGGAAAGCTGCTATCCTGGAAGGCAGGAGAGAGTCTGCGGCCTCATCAAAATAACTGGTGAAGTTTTTATTTTACCCTGTTTTCTCCTTGTCAGATTAGTGAGTTTTCCTGCTCAGTTGCAGTGGACAGCGGCTTCTCTTTTGGGGGTCACCTACCCTGTCCTGCCAAGGGGACGCAGAGCACTGCTGGGTCTGCTCAGGCGTGCAGGAGGGCTGCCCTGGTCTGAGCCCCTGAGCAGGCTCCGCCCAGAGCGGCAGGTGCAGTCTCTGTGGTCCTCGTGACCTGCGGGAGCCCAGTCTGGGGAGGCCCTTCCAGGAGGAGCCAGGCAGGTTGAGGAGAGAGCAGGCAGAGAGGACGTTTGACTGAAGGTGGAAATGATGAAGATAGGAAGGAGGTGGGGACCAGCAGGTCTGACCGTGGAGACAGAAAACTTCCGCAGGGTGAGGCTGGCAGTGGGGTGTGGTTTCCTCAGAGTCGGTGAGGAGGGGTCGTCTTAGGATTATAGGTCTGTCTTGGCAACAAGAGGAAAAGAGACGGTCCGTGTAAGGGGGAGCTAGTTCCAGCACTAGCTTTCTGTTTGGTCTGAAGTAGGAGGTGAGGTCTGATTCATTGGAAGGACTGATGTTGAAGCTGAAACTCCAATACTTTGGCCACCTGATGGGAAGAACTGATTCATTGGAAGGACTGATGTTGAAGCTGAAACTCCAATACTTTGGCCACCTGATGGGAAGAACTGACTCATTGGAAAAGACCCTGATGCTGGGAAAGACTGAAGGCCGGAGGAGAAGGGGATGACAGAGGATGAGATAGTTGGATGGCCTCAGTTACTTGATGGACATGAGTTTGAGCAAGCTCCAGGAGTTGGTGATGGTCAGGGAAGCCTGGCGTGCTGCAGTCCATGGAGTCACAAAGAGTCAGAGACAACTGAGCAACTGAACTGAACTGAACTGAGGAGGTGAGGTAAGACCTCCTGATAACTCAGCTGGTAAAGAATTTGCCTGCAATGCCGAAGACCTGGGTTGGGAAGATCCCCTGGAGAAGGGCATAGCAACCCACTCCAGTATTCTTGCTTG